ACTAATAATATTTTATAAATTTACTTTTTTATAACAAAATTATAAACTTTTAAAAAATATCATTTCACACTTAATTATTACTTCCTTCGAATCAAAATATAAGATATTTGTAATTAATTAATGATTTATGAAAAATATTAATTGAAACTTTAACTATTTTTAAAAAATTACATCTTTTTAATTTTAATCTTATTAAATACTCTATATAAGTACTTTAATGATAATAATTAAAATTTTAATGAATTATTTTTTTGAAAGAAAGTAATAAATAAAGTAGGAATATAGTTTAAAAAAATAATTATAAAAGTTATCTAATGTTTTATATTTCGAGTTAAACAAGATTTTTAAAAAATATCATATAGTATGGTTTCAAGAAAATATACTAAAATATCATTTCAATTCTCTCTCCACTTAAAAAATAATATTAAAAAATCATTAATAAAATATTAATTTGTTAAAATTGTTCTATATTTTAAAGTAAAAAGTAAAATTTTTTTCCAATATTGTCATATATTTTGTGATAGAGTAAGTATTAAAATCGGCATATATATATATATATTTTTTTTTTTTTTTTTGGGTGCCTGACCCTCTCACACACAAACAAGCGATGCAAATGAAGATTTTTTTTTTTTTTTTTTCATTTGGGCACTTCCTAGTTGACTGCGTCAAAGCAGTTGAATCTTGCCTGTCAAACTCGTTAACTTGTTTGGCCAAGAAAGTCTAAGCGCCTGTTTGGATTTCCCTTATTATGGATTATTTTGACTAAAATTATGGTTTGGGCAAAAAATACCCATACATGTCTGTTTTTTATAATCAATTATTTACACCCAAATTATGTTTTTCCATCAGGCGAGAGAAGTAGCTTACTCAATTCAATTATATCATTAGTCATTTATTATTTGTCAGAATTTTTTTCTCGCCAGACTTACCCCTCCAACTAGTTTCAACCTTTTAGATGTCATTCGAGCTTTCAACATATCTCCACTCCAACTATGCTTGGTCCTCCTCTCATCTCCATTGACACATATTCTGATGCCATCAATGGCTTGATTTCGTATTAAGGGTTTGTGTATCCTACTTCAACATATGGGAAATAAATAATGATAGTAAAGTAAATTCTTATGCTAAAATTTAATAATATTATATTTTATAAATAGATTTCAATAAATTTAATAATATTATACACCTGAAATTAATATTTACATTTTAAATAAGTAAATGCTTTTTATGGTAATTTATACATTTAAAATAGATTTGACTAAATCATCTAAACATTTTTAATTATATCAAAATCATTTTAAAAAAAAATGCTACCTGTCTAGCTAAGTTGAGATGACTGTAATAAAACGATCGTAGCACATCGCATCCAGTGAAGGTGAATTGTCCCAACAACGAAACCGAAATTGACTACAAGGCAGATAACACATTTTAATCAGATCTGATATTAACTTGTCCATTATATTGAATACACACTGCTTGTATCCAGGAGATACATTTAGAACATGAAGTAGAACAAGTACGCATGTTCAAGGATAGCAATCTGAACACAGAACTTGGGAAGGCTGTAAATTATCACAAGATCGGAAGAACCAAAATAAAAATTGAATACTAATTTATAGGACTACACAGGGCCTGGTCTTCTTTCCCTTTTTCCTTGTCTTAGGTGGCTGTAACACAACCTTGATCGCAGCATCAAACACGGCCTTCACATTCTGAACATTGCATCGAACGCACTCTATCAAGCTCAAGCAAAATTCTTAGTTCACTCCCAAAGTTTCTAGTTCATGTTGTTGCCGATTTGCTCGAGATCAGTTATCTATCACTTAATCTTTATTACTCATTTTGTCATGCTGTTATAAGCTGGAAAACTTCATGATAAGAGAGAGAATTCTACTGCAATTTAGAGGCGTGAGTAAATGAAAAAAAGAACCTGCTGAGTTTTTGCGCTGCACTCTATGTATGAAGCAGCACCGATGGCCTTCTTCAATTCTTCTCCCTGTTGAAGGATTACAAGATTTACGTGTGACTTAAAAGGAACTTCATTCAGATTCATGCAAGCTAAACTGTGTTAGCCTTAAAACACCTTTTAACAACTTGCCTGGGCAGTAGTTATAGGCTTAGCACTAGGATGATCGATCAGATACTGCCTGTCTCCCCTCAAATCTGCAGTGATAATCATCATATATAATTGCATTGCTATCTCAGCTCATAAATTTGCAGCTTTAAACTGACGGAATTCAGTAAATTATAGTTATAGCTGAAAATACCAAGCTTGGTTCCCACAAGTATAACTGGTACATTTGGGGCATAATGTCTCAGTTCAGGAATCCACTGCAAACACAAACTCAGTGTCAGATTCTGACATCTAAAAAATGTTGCGTTTTTGGTGAATTTGAGGAGAACCTTTTTAGAGATATTCTCATAGCTGGCTCTGCTGATGAGAGAGAAGGCAAGCAAGAACACATCTGCTCCTCTGTAGCTCAAAGGCCTAAGCCTGTTATAATCCTCCTGCCCTGATCCAATCAAGCAACATTAGATCATTAAAGTAAGCTAAATCACTCTATTACCCACCTTACTTAAATTATACTTACCAGCAGTGTCCCACAATCCCAGGTTAACTGTGCTGCCATCAACCGCCACATTTGCGCTGAAGTTGTCAAAAACTGTTGGCACATAGTCCTTTCCAAGGAGAAAATGTCCTTTTTTGTCAGACACCATGCAAACCAAAACGGCAAGTTCAAACAATTTTAAGATAAACATCGTGTGTCATCATACCGTTGGGAAAGTGTTGCTGGTGTAGGAAATGAGCATGCAGGTCTTCCCCACAGCTCCATCGCCAACGGTGACACACTTGATAAATCTTGCTGTGTTCATTTCCAGAATCCTCTGTTTTCTGCACCTTATATTACTATCTTGCTGCTTCCATGACAAGAAGAATATCACTTTCACTCGAAAGTTTTGAAATAGAACTACAAAAAGGAGAGAGGACGAGGGATATTTAGATGGAAAGAGAGAGAGAAAGAGGGTTTAGTTTGAATTTGAATAGCAATGGAGGGGGAGGAGGGTAGCATTTAATAGGATGAGCCCCAAAGCACCAACTTTATTGTGTATCTTTAATCTTTACCATTATTGGCTTCGGCTTTCTGTTTCTTTAAGGGAAGGCCGTTGCTTTTATATCAGCAACGAGGGCGTTTGGTGCTGCACTAGTGTCAGTTGGTTAAGTATTGTGCAAGGCACAGGCTGAATTATGAGCATTTAGAATGTAAGTATTGCTTGCCCAACAAAGAAGCAGTGATTCAAAGCAGAACCAGTGTAATGAAAATTGAAAAATCATATGGTTTAAAATGGAGGTTCACATATCACCAACGTAAGCATGATATCAAGTAGAATTAATCAATGTCATAATAAGGTGACAGAAACTGTGAATATAGTGGAAAAATTAAAACCATTCGCTTTACTTTTTCCACTGTATCACACTCCCAAGTCACTAGTATATCACACTCCCAAATCTCAAATATGAATCATTTTCCTGATCTGGGCTTTACTGGATTTATCCAGCTTTATTGGGTGGTTGGCGTTATTGAAGATCCATCATGTGTTTTATCACCAAAGCAAAGTTTTTCTTATAAAATAATCTTATATATACTTTAATTAATAACCTGTGACATCTTAATATATTATGTTTCAGTACCAACTAATATTGTCTCTCTTTCTTTTAAACGGAGATCTGAATTGTTAATATACAAAGTACTTTTTCAAACTTTATTAATACACCAAGAATAATAATGTCACCCATCTTCTACTCCTTCATTTTCCTTTTCACTTTACACTTTCTCCAAGCTCTTTGAAATTGTGTTCCTGGATTTTCTTTTGCTCTCTAAGTCCTTGACAGGCTCACATAAAGCTATAGCTTGAACTGGCTGAGTTACTCTTCATATGTGAGTGAAGAATTATCTTGAAGGTTGAAGCAGACAACGGCTCCAAAAACAATGGCTTTAATTGTAATGATGAGATTACTATATGGAATCCTATCTTTCACGGTCATTGGTTTCTTCAAAGTTATCGCCGGACACCAACTTGGTCAATTTGCTTTAATAAAGAGATAAAAATTATAGTACTAAAATTATATTTTATTTTGTTATTGATGATGATTTACAAGTTATTATTCTATATTTTATATTTATATTTATAACATGTTACTCGTATTTTTTTTAATCAATTATATAATTAGAGAAAATTCAGATACTTAAATTTATACATTAATTTGACTGAAAACAAGTATTCCAAAAATATAAATTTAAATACCTAAGTTTTTTTAAAAAGCATAACATTAAATTTTTTAAGTTATAACAATTACAAGATAAAATTTATAAAAATAACCCAATATTATTTTTGTGAATGCATGAAATATATAATAACTTAAAACTTTTTAAGAGATTACACTTACCAACTTTTAAATTCTATTAAAATATGTACATATTCTGACAAAGTATGTGTCAAAGGATTAAAAAATAAAATAATACCAAAACTCCAAAAGAAGCCTTTTATGTTTTATGGCTTATTATTAATGCAGATTAATATATTTAAGCTGACTTGAATTGCGTGGATATTAAGTTAAGTTTCATAACTTTTTAATAATTTATCTTATTATAAGTATGATATTTTATATTGATACTGATATATTAATAAACTATCTAATTTTGTTTGAAATAAAAAATTATCTCGTTAAAAAAATATAAACTTATATCCTGGCTGGGATATTTTGCTTTATACATTATATAAAGTAAAAACGAATTACTTGTATTTTCACATAAAAAAAGGATTACTATTTACTTCTATTATTTATTTTTAATAATTAACTTATTTTCTAACTTTAATGTAAATAATTTTGAAAATTCTAAATCCCTTATTATGTCAAGGTTTGCTTAGGAAGTAAAAAAATGATAACCGATAATCTGAATAAATCACACTTCTTCTCAGTTCTCATTGTTGACGGGAGACGTTCCCTTCGGTTTAGGCTGAAAAAGACGACCAAGTCAACACTACAGCTACAATGAACGCAGCTGGATATACATTGGCTCGTCTGTGAGAAGTGAGAGCAGAAACATTCTCCGACATTAAGATGGGAAAATCTTGCCTCGTCCATTTCATCTGCCTCTCGTTCCTTCTAGCTTCTACAGCTTATTGCTTCTCACACCCTCCTCTCCTTGGAGTTCACCCCCTAGGTATTTCTGGATATCCTTCGTCTTTATGCAGTACCTTGTTTGAAATAAATGAAGTTTGAACCTTTTAAGTAGTGGGTGTGCGCCATTTAGCTATTATTGTTAATCTTTTGTTAAAAATTTTAATTGGGTTCTGTGGATGCAGATGAGAAATATTACAGGTCAGAATTGATCAAATGCAAGGATGGAACAAAATCTTTTCCCAGACATCGTCTCAATGACAATTTTTGCGACTGCACCGATGGCACTGATGAACCTGGTACCAGTTATAGTCCCTAAAATCATAACTTAAATGTGGAAGTTTAAGATATAGGTATTTGCATATTGGGTATCAAATTACATGTTATGGTACTGTCGAAGTCGATCAAAGGAAATATGAACTTAACCTTTTCAGGCGATCAAGGGATTATGGAAGATTCTATTAACGTGTTTCCTAGTAGTCTAGGGAAATGATGGTTTATGGTCGTTTTAATCCTAATTTGTTGTTCTTTGTTTGAAATTTGAATTCAGAGCTCAGAAAATCATGAGTCTATGCTTTCATTACTTCTATGTCCAGTGTTATACTGAATGAGTTCACGTGTTTTCTCTGTTTGGTCCCCCGCTTATGCTTCAAAATGTGTCCGGTTCTTCCTTTCTGATTTCTTTTCTGGTTAAGCTAAATTTTGACAAGAAGGAATCCTGTATGATAGCTACTCTGCTACAGTGGTAATGCTTAACTTAATTTTCTGATTTAGTTATTAATACTTTCTATTATTATTTAATATTTAGACACTGTCTATTGCTGCCAGCTGACACAGTCGTAGTTCTCTTTCTAGTCCATGTGTTAACAGAGACGTGTGTGTGTAGTAATATCTGTGGGTAAAATAAAATATGTTAAGTAATGACCACGCCTTCATATGTTCCCAAAAAAAAAAAAAATTGATATACTTGTACTTTTATTAAAATTCCCTACGATTTATTACTTGATTGTTGCTTGTAAATAAAATACATTAATTGATTGTTGATAGCACAGTGTTGTTTTTGTGATTACAGGAACTTCAGCTTGTCCAACTGGAAAATTTTATTGTCAAAACTTAGGAAGCAAGCCACAGTTCATATTTTCTTCTCGCGTTAATGATCTATTTTGTGGTAAGCAAAAAAGGTCTCATTTGTTAAATTTTATATTTTTTTTTTCTCTCCTTCTCCCTTGCTATTTTTTTTTCCAATTTATTTTTTCGGAGTTGCTACTTAAGGCATGCTTTTTGTATAACATTTTGTTCCCACATAGAAGCATTGTGTTCTTGAGATGGGTAGTAAATGTCTTCCTTTCAAGGTTTATAAGAATTTTGAGGAACCTAACTTTGCACTACAGTTTTTTTGCCTTTCGTCTCTATTTCCTCACTCTTCAATATCAATAAAGCTAAGTAGTTAAGGGGATTTGACAAAAGATTTCTTGATAATTGTTGCTTTTATTCTACTGAGTCTTAAACCTATTTAAACACATTGCTTATGTGAGATTAAATGACTAGTGTAAAACTAGAAATTCTGTTGCGCCCAATCTGGTTTATCATGCTTCTTGTACAAATTGCTCTCATAATTTTACTTAAAACAGATTCAAATTGGATGTGCTGCCAAGGGTATTAAGGATTTTTCTTTTGCCTTCAAGTTCCAATTTTTATCCAGTATTGCTGCAGATTGTTGTGATGGGAGTGATGAGTATGATGGTAGCATCCATTGTCCCAATACATGTGTCATGGGTGGAAATGTAGAATACAGATCTGATCCAATCTCTAGTGGGGCAAAAAAGACAAAGGATGGAGTGAAGTTAGAGGAGTTAGTTTATAACCTTACTGGTAACTTTTTCATCCTAGAGAGTTTTCACATTACTTTTTAAACCTATATATAAGTAAATATGTCTTTAAATTGTCTGATTTCAGCACTGAAGGTAGCTATTATTCTTCAACTGGTTCTGGTTATTTTTGTTGTCATTCTCTGGTGTTTTCATTGCCGTAAGAGATATAGAAGGAGGTATTACCGTTGAACAGATGTTGTCCTTATTGTTTGCCTATTTTAAACCCCAGGTAAAATTCTAAAATACTTTTGCTCCGTTTTCCATTTCTTATTTTTTTTGCCCGATTTTAATTATTGTTTCCTATTCTTCCATATGAGCTGATGTCAGGACTCATTTCATAAATTGGGAACTTCCATGACACAATTTTCAAGGCAAGCAAAAAGGGGGAACATAAAGAAAGAAAGAAAGAAAGAAAGAAGCTGATCAAAAAATCTAAGATATTATTAGAATTTAGATATTTGGGCAACATGTAGAAAACCTAATTTGATGCAGGGTTATGACATTAAGATATGAAATGAATAACCTCGCCAATTATGCTATTCAATTGGATTAAACATCCCAATGTCATTGAGGTCCTAGAGTTAAATTGAGGAACATATGTTAATAGTTTTGTTTTCCATTACACTTCTCTTTGATCATCATTCATGACCCCCTTATCTCCAACTGCTGTCATTTTTTGTGTATCTTTTTTATTTTCTTTTTTACTGTAAACTTTTATCTGCAAAGGATGGTATGAGAGAGAAGTTATTTATTGACTTTGTATATGCTAATTGTGTTGTCATTTTACCATTTAAAGGTGTCATTGTGCATGACATGATGGGGAAAAAGTGATATTTTATGAATGCACACAGCTGCATCTTCTACCCTTTTTTCTCTCATCACATTATGTTCACTCTGTGTATGCCATACTTATCCTTGTAAGTTGCATCCCTTTACCTCTTGATAAACAAAATCATCTCTGTAGGTTCTTTTTTTGTTTTGCCCCAAGTTGCATCTGTACTACATTGGTCTGCCAAGATGGTGATCAAAGCAGCCAAGCTCTGCAGTGATATTCTCCTTCACTTTTGTCCTTACTTAAAACAATGCCCTTCGCTTTTCTGGGTTCCTTTATTACAAAGGCTTGATCAAGCTGTTACAGCTGAATTAGAAGCCAAAAACTATGGGAAAAAATGACTGACTTCATTTCCCTTGAGTCCTGCTGAACTGCTTGTCCTTATTCATTTTGTTCTTGATTTCCTCCTAAAATAATAGTGCAAATTTCTTTAAAAAATCTTGCAATCTTCTGTACCTCGACCTCATGATAAGGCATCAATAGCCTATTCCTGTATTTTTTCTTACACTCTCCAAAGATCCCATCTCTTTCACTCTGGTCTTGCCATACTTTAAAGGACTCAAGTTTTGGTTGCCTTTCAGTTCCTCAAAAGAAAACCCATGTTTTCTCCTCTCATCTGCTTGGCTGGACTGTTAACGTCAGTCCCATTTGATTTTGTTAGAGCTCTGCTCTAAAGTAACTAATAGAACCAAGCTTTCAATGCAAAGATAAATAAATGAGGGAAATTCTAAGGTTTTTGATATTAATGCATATGAACTGAATCAGTGTTACAAGAGAAACTCACTGATTCTAGCCAAAACCCTATTCCCAACAACTGAAATTACAAACTAAATGGAAGAACACAGCAACAAGAAAAGGTCTCTAACTGGTGTTCGAGAGACCAGCACTCTCCTCACTTCTATCTAACTTCTCTAAAACATCCTTGAGTGCCAACAAAAATAATACAGCCAAATAAAGCAAGCAAAAAGGTGACTTCAATATCGAGACTAAATCTAAGCCACCCTACCTAAACATCATGGCATAATCCTTCTTTTCTGGACCCTCAGGATATTAATCCTAGCCCAATGGGTATTTCCTTTCTACACCCAACTGCCCCCTTGATCTCCTCTTATAAGTCTGACCATATCTCACGGTCACATCATTTCCTGCCTCTAAGAGTCTCACCTTGTCCTCAAGGGGAAAATCTGGAAATTGGAGAGAAATGGTGTCAGCTGTCTCCCATGAATTCTCAAACTCGGGTAAATCTCTCCATTTCACTAAAACCTCCAGCTGGCCTGTCATAAGTTTCCGAACCTTGCATATGTCTTGAGGCTGTACCTGTAGCTCCATTTCTGCAGAAAGTGCTGGTGGTATAGTAGGAGTGACAATAGCTGAACAAACTGATTTTTTGAGTTGAGAAATGTGAAAGACTGGGTGAATGCGAGCTGTGGAAGGAAGTTCCAGCTTGTATGCGACCTGTCCAATCTGCTCTATGATCTTGAAGGGGCCATAGAAACGAGGGCTGAGTTTCTCATTAAGTCTTTTGGCTAAAGATTTCAGCTTGTAGGGTCTGATTTTGACATAGACTAAATCTCCAACGTCCAGCTATATCTCTCGCCTATGTTTGTCAGCTTGCTTCTTCATTCTTTCTTGCGCCACAGTGAGGTTTTCCTTTAAAATGGCAATAATGGAATTCCGGGACTGAATCTGTTCATTGACAGCTTCAATGCCTGACGGTTCCCCATTCAACTTAAAAAAAGTAGGAGGGTCCCGTCCGTACACCGCCTTAAAGGGTGTCATTCCAGCAGCCCCATGATGAGTTGTGTTGTACCAATACTCAGCCCAAGGTAACCATTGCGCCCATTGGGTTGGTTTCTCACTGGTGAAACAACGCAGGTAAGTTTTTAAGCTCCTGTTCAAGACTTCGGTTTGGCCATCAGATTCCGGGTGGTAAGCAGAGCTAAGACAAAGCTGAGTGCCTGCTTGCTTAAATAATTCCTTCCAAAACTGACTTACAAACACCCTATCCCTATCTGACACAATTGTTTTTGGAAACCCATGCAATTTAACAATGTCATTAATGAATCTTTCAGCAACTTCTTTTGCTGTAAATGGGTGGGTCAAAGCCAAGAAGTGGGCATATTTTGTCAACCTATCAACAACAACAAGTATGACGTCATGTCTTTTGGATTTTGGAAGTCCTATAATGAAATCCATGCTAATATCTTTCCAAATTTGTTGAGGAATCGGCAAGGGTTGTAACAGCCCAGCTGGAGTTAATGCTTGATATTTGTTCTTTTGGCACACGTCGCACTGTGACACATATTGTTGGATATCTTTTTTCATGCCTTCCCAATATACAACAGTAGAAAGCCTCTTGTAAGTGCGCAAATAACCCGAATGGCCTCCGGTTGGTGAATCATGAAATTCCTTCATGAGCAATTGAATTCTGATAGACTTCTTTGGTAGCATCAATCGTCCTTTATAGTGTAGACAACCCTTCACAAGGCTGTATCCCTCCAAATTTCCTTGCTTGGTAATGACTTTTTGCAGTATATCATTTAACTTAGGATCAGCATGTACTTCTTTCTCCCATTCTTCAAGGTCACCTTGCTGCCATAAAGAAAAACCATGTATCTCCAGATTTTCTTCTTTCCTTGAAAGTGCATCCGCTGCACGATTTTCCTTGCCCGGTTTGTAAGCTATTTCAAACTTGAACCCTATTAATTTAGTGATCCAGTGCTGTTGACTTTCTTCTACAATTCTCTGTTCCAGCAGAAACTTCAAAGCTTTCTGATCTGTCCGGATGACAAATTTCTCCCCCCATAAGTAGTGTCGCCATTTCTTGACCGCCATAACAATTGCCATAAGTTCCCTCTCATAAATGGAACATTGTTGAGCACGGTTAGAGAGCTTTTGGCTGAAATATGCCACTGGACGGCCATTCTGCATCAGCACTGCTCCTATTCCAGACCCGGAAGCGTCTGTTTCCAACTCAAACGGGATGGAAAAATCAGGCAAAGCTAGTACTGGGAGAGAAGTCATGGCTGTCTTGAGACTTTGGAAGGCTTCTTCAGCTTTTGGAGTCCATTTAAAGGCATCTTTCTTAAGTAAATCGGTGAGAGGACTAGCGATTTTTCCATAATTCTTGACAAATCTTCTATAATACCCTGTCAACCCTAGGAACCCTCTTAAGGATTTCACATTCTTGGGTTTAGGCCACTGCACCATACTCTCAATTTTGCTGGGATCCGCTTGCACTCCCTCCTTGGAAATGATATGCCCAAGATATTCAATTTTTGGTTGGGCGAAAGTGCACTTCTTAAGGTTGATCACTAGCTGGTTCTCTTTCAGGATAGACAAAACAGCTTTCAAATGTTTCAAGTGAGATGTTAAATCATGGCTATAAATAAGTATGTCATCAAAAAATACAAGCACAAATTTCCGAAGATGCTCTCGGAATATCTCATTCATTAAAGATTGGAATGTGGAAGGAGCATTGGTTAAACCAAAGGGCATTACCTTGAATTCATAATGTCCCTCGTGGGTTCTAAATGCTGTTTTATGTTCATCTCCAGCCATGATTCTGATCTGATGGTATCCGGACTTCAAATCCAGCTTGGTGAAGATGGCGGCTCCTTTTAACTCATCTAACAACTCATCTATAGCCGGTATGGGAAACTTGTCAGGCACCATGATTTTGTTCAAGGCTCTATAGTCCACACAGAATCTCCAGCTTCCATCTTTTTTCTTAACCAACAAAACTGGACTTGAATAAGGACTTTGACTGGGCTGAATGATACCTGCTCTCAACATATCTTTCACCATCTTCTCAATTTCATTTTTTTGAACATGAGGGTACCGATACGGCCGTATGTTAGGAGGTTGTTCGCCTGGTTTGGTTGCTATTGCATGATCATGAGAACGAGTTGGTGGTAACCCTTCAAAAGGTCGACAAACTATAGAGAATTGGTCCAGGAGGTTCTGAATTTCAGGCGCCAATTGTATAGTTTCAGCTGTTGTTTCTTCATTATTCATCCCATTATATTCGATCATGTACCCCTCCCCTCTCTTCTATACGGATCGAATAAATGACTTAAGGAAAACCAAGGCCTTGGTTAGAGCGGGATCTCCTTGTAAACACACCTTGTTTCCTTTCTTACCAATCTTCATGGTCAGTTGCCCCTAGTTAACCTTCACTTCTCCTAAAGATTTTAACCATTCAACTCCTAGTACAACATCCACGCCACTGAGTGGAAAGGGGTAGAAAGTTTGAATAATGTCCAGGCCTTGTACCTGTAACTTGAGGTCATTGCAGCGTTGCTTCCCTTTAATACTAAACCCATCCCCAACAGTGATAGAATAGACGGCAATGTCCTCCACTGGAATTTTTATTTTAGTGACTAATTCCTCAGCTATGAAGTTGTGGGTAGCCCCACTATCAATCAAAATCACAATCTCGGCTTTCTCTAGTCTCCCACATACCTTCATAGTGTGATTCCCTCCAAACCCAACTATGGAGTTTAGTGATAACTCCATTCGAGTTTCATCTTCTTCGGCTTCTTCACTATCTTCAGTGCATATTGGTTCATGGCCTTCGATTCCCTTCTCGGGCTCTAGCTCCAGCAACATCACTTGCAGATTTTTATTTTTGCAGATGTGATTAGGTCCGAATTTATCTGCACATTTGAAACACAAACCAAGCTCTCGCCGACGAGTTAATTCCACGTCTGACAGTCGCTGGGTTCGTCCCCCTGGACGCGACGACGCTGTTCCTGTCGTGTTGCTCGCTACTTTTGAGTCTGCCGTTTTTGTCTTAGCCCGTTTCTGGAGTCCCGAGTGTATTGAAGAG